CTTGATGAAGGGTACAACAGAAATAATTTATTCTGACCAGATGGCCTGCTTTTATACACATCAGGGTTACAGTCGAACACGCCCATAACACTCCCACAACACGCTGATGAGTCAGGATGACTAAGCATAAAAGCATAACATACATAAAATATTAAAAATACATGACACATAGGAACCTCCATAAATGTTATATTGTTCAATAGCCCTGATCTGAGCGCCCAAGTTTTGCAAATAGCACTCAGATCCATGCAGTGTAGGGGAAACGCCACCATGTTAAAGTTCTGACCGGCCGCACACATGGTCTTATCCCCAAAACAGTTCCAGGGCGTTTGGTGCTTTTGCAGGTCAACTTTCGGGAGCTCCTGCAGCCGCAATACAGGTGCTTCGGCTGGCTCCCTCCAAAAAGCGCTCTCCTGGCGCCACCTTCAAAGTGGTTCAAAACCGTGAACCAAGTTGTCTGGGAATCAAACCGTCACCTCACACCTCAAAAACAGATCCATAACATTCGCAGCTAAGTCCCACTGAGATGACCGGGAACCCACGAAGTCCTCATACCAAAATTAGTTCCATAGCGGTCGCGGCAAAGTACTGCTGGGACTATTCGTGGGTTTGGTTCAAGAGACGGCCGCTAGAGAGCCAGCTTTCGAATCCATTTGCATGAAGGGAAAGTGCCGAACCAGGGAGAACCCAGGGCAAGCTACTAATGGCGGTTGGGGAGATTTAACTCCCGAACAGGGTCTGAGTATATGGCCCATAGTCGGTGGACAGGAGGCCAGCTTCTACACTCCTCCATGAATTTGTGGTGAAGTCCAGGGCAAGGAGCGTTTCTCACAGGATGTTATTGGAGGCGGGCCTAGTTTTGCACCATGTTATTGCAGACTATGAGGATCACTGGAATTATAGAAGCTGGTGTTTTTAATGTATATTAAGTGCTGTCTGTGAGTCTCTTTTATAGTGAGCTCACAAGGAATTTATCAAAGAGTTTTTAAGGTACTTGTAATAAAATAAAAATTGTGACACTATAGGGCCCAAGTGAGGAGCCAAGTGAGGTTATCAGTTCTCATTGCAGGGCTGTTTAAATCCAAAACTGGGCAGAAGACGTTTTCATACATGTGAGTGTACTAAATTGGGGAGATAAAAAAAAAGAAGCTTTTTTACAAACAGTATGCACTATATATATATACTTCTTTCTTTGTAGAGAAAATTAACACGAATTAAATCTGTATAAGTAAATAACTTATTGGCATTTTGGTTGCAACATGAGTGGCACTATTTTCACACATTATATAAATATTGTACTTTATGCATTTTGACTTTTTTTTTTAACACTGTATTGTTAATATTGGGACTTAAACACGGAATGTGAGGAGTTTATGCAACTGAAACACCAGTGTGCACTTTATATTTTTATTGATGAAGCTCCTTTCCCTTTTGGTTGGTACAGTGAAAAGTAAAAGGGATTTCGCTACAGCATATGATCATACACTCAGTGCAAGGTTAAATAGGGCTCTGGAATAAGGACATGTGACCAGATGGGGTACAAAACAAAGGTTGTTTTACAGGTGTCGAGCTGGAATAATAACCTGGGCAAGAGAAGAGCTGGTCACCATGGAGGTCAGTGCCTGATGAGTGTCAAGGCCACAGTCCTGTATGAAACACACAGCATCCACAAGTACATCATGAAGATGGCTCCCAGAGATCAACTGATAAGGAAAGGCCTGAGACTCTAACAGATATAGAAAATAAGGAGGTCCCATGGCAAGACAAACCTGTCCATCGGGTGAACCAAAGGCAGATGGTGGATGTGGCAGTTGGTGATGTTTGGCGGAATTACATTTTTACAGTAATAATTGTATTCAATTATTTGCACATTTTAAAAACTCCAGCAAATTATTAGGTGAAGCAACATATGGATGGGAATACCGCTATAAATGTCAGTAATATGGCATTTCCTTTTTTTAATTGCTATTTTGTTACAGTTCTATTCCGCGGCTTTGTAGCCCAGCAAGTTGCGTGCATCAATGTCAATTTAAAGAGGTGACCATGGAGAGCACAGCTCTGATTTGAGTTTTATGAAGCTTTCAAGATGGGAAAGTGGACAGAATCCTCCAGCTGTAATACACTAGTAGTTTGATCTGTGGGTGTCTGCAGATATCAGATACTGCATAATCTGCAAGATATGTTGTTTGACATAGGTTTGTACTCCTAATGGGAGCCAGCATGACAACAAATCAAAGACATATCTGGTTTTCTGTCATTGGGAGATGGAGTGAGGTAGTAATAAAGAAGAATTAAAGAAAAGCTATAAGCACCATAACCACTACAGCATCTGATTTGCGCTTTATTCTTACTACCAGGTTTAAACAGTATTCATTGGCTGAGAGTTTCAGCTGACACTATACTGCAGTCTGGAATGCACAAAAACATACTGACTTTATTAAAGCCATGAAATCACAAAAATGTCCAAAATTGTTTTACTCTTGTGTAGAAAATGTGAATTTCCAAGGATATTAAGAAACCTCACACTTGCTTTGACCTCAGTGAGTAAGAATTGAAAGCTTACAAAAAAATAAAAATATATTATTAAAAGAGAATATTTTAGGAGGCACACAAATACAAAAAAAATAAATGATTTTACCTTCTACCTTACTACAATCTCTCCAAATGTTTTATTGCCATCTCCAATCTTTCTTTTTCTTCTTATTGTCGACTTACAAAATGCTTGTAATGTACTAATACCTATGCAGCCATGCATTAAAGATTGCTATGAAAAATAGTTAATGCAATGTTAAACAAAAATCTGCACACCAGTCAATCCATAAGACTTTCTTTTCCCACAGTGGTTCACTGGCTTTGCATATTTTCCTAAATTGTGTTTCAAAGCTGTTGTATATAGCAAACACAGACTCAAAGGAATCCATGTTTAAAATGGAATGAGGCAAAAATGTGATTCTTTGTTAAACTAATTTGCATATGCCCACTCAGAATCCTTTGTGGTAGTAACATCACTGCAAATTTGTTATTTCTGTGGGGAAAGCAAGTTTTATGGCTTGACTGGTGTGCAGATTTTTGTTTAACATTGTATTAACTATCCACAGACTTCAGGTGGAAGGGGTTTTCAATCACAATTTTTTTTTTCCACCATAACCATTTTTGTTTTTGATATATATATATATATATATATTTCACCTGGATTATTTAAATTGCTGTTGATTTTAGAAAATATTATGAGATGCCAACTCAAAGAAATACACTGAAGATGTTCATAAGTGATTCTAAACAAATAAAACGGTGGCAGAGCCACCACATTAAAGCATGAAAGTTTTATGACCAAGGTAAGAAGCAGAGACAATCTATAATTGTAATAGAATGTATCATAATTAAATGAAGAAGGTGAGTGAATTTAAGGACCAGTAACATGAAGGCCATTTCCTCTCAATGAAGTGGACTTGGCACAATGGTCCTGTACTTTTAGCCCTACAATGTAAAACATTGCAGCCATGTGACGTAGAAGATTCAATGGTTTTGTATGAGCTCAAACATCAGGTCCCCAATTTGATTGGATCATCATGGACGAGGCAATGCCTCATCCATAACGTCATGGAAGGAGGAAAAGTAAGCAGCGCCGCAGGAGTCTCGACACTTGAAATGGGTAAGTAAAAATCTTTTTTTTTTGTAATTCTTTCTTTTATTGAGGCAATGATAAAAGGGGTACAGAATAGAAAGGGGGAGTAAAAGCATGATAATACACGATGAGGGAGCAATAGCATATTCAATTACTTAAGACTCCTATAGTGGACAGCCTAATTTTTTTTAAATTATAATGAACAAGCCGAACTTATTAAAATTAGAGTAAGAGTGGTTAGCAACCCAACTAAGTGAATGTGGTTTGTCGCTCAGAACTGAGGGGTATAGAGCTGGGGTGCTGAGATATTCTTTATATCAAGGTTACATGATGGGGATAGTTACTAATACCAGCCAGGCTTATCCTTATATGGTCCCTGGGGCATGGGTGCTGAATATCATTGCTGGTGTGTGGCCAGTTACTATGATATGTAAGATGGTGGGTTAGGCAAAGTAGGCTAACTGTGTATGGTGTCTGAGCCCGGGGTCTGTGATTATTTATTTGTGGCGGGCGGTCCCTGGCCAAAGGAGGCCATGGGGAGGTGGGGGGTGGGTATGACATGCTTAAGGCATGTATCGTTCTGCTCTCTTAGGCTGGGGGGGCTTGTGTCTTTTCGTGTGTTCGCTTCACCGTGTGGTGATAAATACTGTTAAGTGTGGCTAGAATAAGAGAAAGATGATAGACATATGTACACAATAACAAGAGCATTCATGAACCAGGTTTCAACAACGCGGAAAAAAGAACTGTCTTAATTGTAACAAAATGAGCAGGAGCAGTTATATGAGAGGGTTATGTGGTACTGGAGAGTCCGTTCTGTTGGGGTACGGTTCAGGTGGGGGCCCCTGGCCTCGCTCCGTCTCGCGGTGTGAATGGGACAGTTCTCGAGGGCTCCCATATATGTTGTTTGGGGGTCTCTGTTGAGGCCGCCGGCAGTGGTGGCAGGCCGAGGGCCCGCAGAAACGCCGGTCCGTCATTCAGGGAGGTGAGTTTGTTTGTGACCCCGTTTTGTATCACCGTGAAAGTCCTGGATATGCCCCATCGGTATCCATGCAGGCTTTTCGTAGGTGGTTGGTGATCGAGCCCACTGATCTGCGCAGCCATAACTTGGTTTCTGTCTGAGATGGAGTGGCAGCGTATGATTACATCTCAGGTGGCAGTGGTCGGTGCTTGCGCGGGCTTGGTAACCCTGGAAGCAGGTATCACAGGGTAGCATTTTGGCATGTGTGTGCGGTACAATGGCCGTGATCAATCGCCGAAGGTAGTGGGGAAGCTCCGCCAGGCTGATATCGTCCAGGACACCTCTGATCTTTATGTTTGCTCTGCGGTGGCGGTCTTCTGCCAGCTCGAGTTTGGCGAGGATCGCTGTGTGTGAGTTTTATAGCTGGAGCATGGTGTCCCTGATGCCTTGAACCTCCAGCCTGGTGTCATTAATGTCCTCCTCAGAGGCCTGCACTCTAGCTGTTACCGCCTGCATTTCGGTGTGTAGCAGGTTTACCTCTGCTGTGTACATCTGCTTCATTTCTAGCATGATGTTGCGGATATCGTCTCTGGTGGCAAGGTTCCGTGTGTCCCCTTCAGGGGCTGTTGCTGGGGGTACCATGTGTGTTGCTGGCTCTGTCCCCGCTACCGCCGGGGATGGCGAGCGCGTGGAACTCTCCTCCTGTTCCGGGTGCGCCGGTGCTCGTTTGGCCGTTGGAGATTGTAGCATGTCCCCTATATCTCTGGTGTATTTGTGGCCGTGTGTTGGAGGCTTCTGGGATCGCCAACCCATCGCGTCTGTGCTGCATGGCGGGCTCTCGTCCGGTGGCTGGGGACGACTCAGTAGCTCTAGGGCAGTGGCCCAGTCAAGTGTGCAGGCTCTAGGATGCTGGCGGGCTGGGTAGGCCCCTGATCGGCGGCGGGTTTTCTTGCCGGCCGAGTTGTATAGGAAAGGCATGTGCTGGTAGCCCTCGTCTTCAGGAGAAGAGGTATATCGTTCTTGTTTTGATTGTGTTTGAATATTCCTATATTTCTTTGCTTTTCTCTCCCGGTCTCTCGAGCTCATGAAAATTGCGTCAGCTCTGTTCAAGCTTCAAGCTCCGCCCCCCTATTTTATTAACATTTAATGGAAGGTGGGCCTCTATAACTAGGGACAGGGACACTAGAGTGTTAGGAATACTGGTTTGTATTCCCAGAGGTTCAGTGTTATACCTGATGTAAGCATGTCAGTGCTTGGAGAACTGTTTATATTTCATCACCTAACCTTCTCCCTGGAATAAATCAACAGCAGCCAACTTTGCTTGAAATTAATATCTAAAACAATTAAAACTCCAACACAGACATGTTCAAGCTGAAGTTGTTCGTGTTTATTGAAGAAACATAATGAGATATTTACATCTAAAATTTCATCTGTAATAGAATTACAAACTAGATATTATTCACTTAAAGAGTGTTCTAAATCACTTCATTTTGAAGAATGCATGAAATAAAGTTGACCTCTGTCTGTCAGCAGCAGTTTCTATGGAGTTTGCCTGACTTAAGCTCTTTGCAGAAGAAAAGAAATCCAACCTTGAGCGCAGGAGGAATCAAGTAGACATTGTTAGAACCTGATCATCTACATAACAGAAGGAGAATCCAGGACAAGACTCAGGGAAAATAGCCCTGTATCTAATTGGATGAATCCATGCTTAACGTGCGCAGCAGACAGACTTAACACACTTCCCCCTTTGTCTTTTTATAAACAGCAGACGTTAGCGATAGACAATATGGTTTGGAAACTATGTATTCTCAGGTTCAATAGCAAATACACTATGCTTAACAAGTCATGTTATTTCACAAACATGTTCATGAAAGCAACAGCCAAGTCGCTGGACATTTGGTAAATGTTGGTTAATAATCCATTTGATCGAAGGCCGTTCAATAAATGTATGGGTTTAATATAATGAATGGGGCCATACTAACAATTTTAGATTTTAGAACAATTAGACTTTAGTTAAGGACTATTAGATTGCTAGTCTTCTTTCCCCTGTTTTACAATTCTTCATTCTAAATGTAGTGGGTTTTGAGATCCTCCAAATGAAGACACGATGGGGAGATTTACCAGTGTCACAGGCAGTATTGTGCCTAGTTAGATTTTTTCCATTTTAGGCACAATTTACTAAATCTGTCCGTTTTGTTTTTTTGCCCATAATCTCTTTTGTGCTGTAACCATCACTTTTTAATATATACTAATTTTTTTCAACAAATGTATGAATCTTGCCACCATGATTTCTCCCAGAAAAGTGTTTTGTTTCACTTCTTTTTCAGAACTCTCTAAATTTGTACTTTCTGAAATGGATATTTCTGCAAAAAAAGGTGAAATTTAAGCAGACAAAAGCCAACACTATTTAGACCACATAGAACCATTTTAATAAATAACAGATTAGAGACAAAACAAACCAAACTACTTTTCAAAATTTCCCCCTAAAACCATATAGAGAAGATTTGTAAAAGAGCTGCTAATAGAAAAATGGGCCAACGTACTAAAACAGAGCATTTATCAGTGGATCCAATGAAAAATATCTAGAGGAACATTGGTTTCCAATTTGATTGCTTCATTTGTAAGTTTCAGAGAAATGTTTTTTTTCAGCAGGTTTTACATTTTAAGTTTTAGAATTTCTTTTCATATATCACCTTTCTAGCAATGCATTAACCCCTGTATGACAGAAAGCATGTCAGTGATGGACTGCAACAAAAAAATGTGCCAGTTCAAATACAGACTACGAAGAGGTGAAATGGAGATTTTCAACAGTCATTTGTTATATCAAACTAGTATTTTATAGAGTAGTGCAAACAGGGTTTCAGTTTCCGTAAAGTCAATGTTTTAATAAGTCTAGCAGTCCTTCAAGAAGCGATCAGAAAGCAGAAGTGTTAGTCCATGTGAGGAAATAGCAAGAGGGATGTTCTGACACTGTCAATACTCTGTATAATTAGATTAGCACACTTAGCACTTGGGAGAGCATTTGTAAAAGGAGGTGGGGGAGAGGGGGACACGAATCATTCTTTTACGCCTTCATTGAGAAACATGAAGACGACTTTAAAGTGCTTTGACATAGAATTTGCACAAAAGGCCATCTTTTCTTCACTATAGAATATCCTCATATATTGCAATACATTGTCTACTCCTTGGTCTAAGCTGTGTGCTGTAGCATCATAAGCTACCTCCAGGATAAAACCATACCAGCTCTCATCCTTCATCACATCAGGTTTGCCAATAAAAATCATTTGGACAAAGAGCAGAACAGAATCTGCCTCCCCCCTACAGATAAACACTTGAGTTCTGGCCAGTTTATCAGCACAATTTGTTAAATCTCTAATCTTGATAACCATGAAACTAAATGTTATGGCTAAGCAGGTGTATAGGAGAAGTAAGAGTTAGCACATGTTCTCTCTTTTACAATTTATGTGCCCGTAAGGCAGGCTTGCAAGGGGGAGTGCTGACAGCTGCAGAAATGAATAGACTCCACACCCCTTTATTTTAATTCATTTGACCCCCTTTTAATTCATTCGGCAGCTAAATGATACATTTATTTCTACCGAATATAGTAAAGGGTTTAACAAAAAATAAAACTGATTAGCAGAGAGCTGATGCGGTTTTAAGAATTATCCTCACTGGGTTTTGCAGTACTATTGGTGGCAGAAGTGGGATAACGCATCATGGTAGATTTAGATCCCAAGGATGCCTAAGGCAATGTGAAGAATACTATATCCACATCATGTGTGTTAACATTTGTTCTCCTGCATTGATATATAAAATACAAAGCCAGAAGATAATTATTGAATTTGCATAATGCTATAGCCCAAATTCATAGAAAGGGTCATGAATTTTTGCAGCCTAATACTTTTTTTGTGATAGTTAACAGTCAGATAAATTAATTTCAGTTATTTACCTGAGTATCCTGCATTATTAGTATTAGTAAGAACATATGAACATTACACAAAATTTTAAATTATCTCCCAAAATCATTACATTTATATAATTTCAAATACAAAATAGAAATATTTTTCATTTGTACTTTTATTACATCAACCACTCAGATGGATGATGTTTAGAAATGTTAATTAAGCACCGATGTAAATTTTAATTGAGTAGATGTTTTTATGGCCATACAAAATTTTGTATCATTGTTTCCTAGAATATGAAATTGGTAATAGAGAGTAACATTACCAATGGTGATTATATCGGTGTTCAGATATGTCTGTTGGACTCATACAGAACATTTAGTGCTGCTCAGCTCTAAATATCAGTTCTGGATAGCAGGAGGCTCTCTAAAATGGGCAGAGCCAAAGTACAATAGTAATATGTATATACTATAAATTCATTGCACGTTGGTAAAAGTGGGGAAATCTAATTGATATGTTTTGTTGAATAGTTTTTTTTTTAAAATATGATGTTACAACTAAAGCTGTTGTACAAGCTTGTGTCCCTATCTAAATATGCTTAAGAACTGAAGTTTTTAATCAATTTAATATACATTTTTTTTTTATTATTATTTCTATTTTATTGACAAGAAATGAGCAAAATTACCTGATAACGGTATAGAGACTTACTAGGATAGAACAGTGTTCATACTGACCAATTTCAGGAAATATGCTGATTCTGTGCCATGGAGTTTGTGTAGAACTGGGACTGGTGAAAATCAGTTGAAGCTGCACAAGTGTGAGCAAGGGTTGTGCCAGGAGCACCCAGCCATACCTAAATGCAGGGCCTGATTGTCCACACTGCCCCTATTGAAGTGCCAACCTGCACTTATGCTAATTTAAAATGGCACCATATCTTTTCAAAGGTAATGATTAACTTATTTCTTTGTAAGTTTTTTTTTTTACTGGACAAGTTTAATTTTTCTTGGTAACATATAAAATAGCCTACCTATGTTATTGCTTGCTTGATGAATGGATGTGACCCCTTATGACAAGTGAATTTTCAATAAATGTTCTCCTTTCAATTGTAATTATGTTGATATATTTCTTGAGGGCCACCAAGTCAACTGCAAATAACTGGAGTCTCTGCAGCTTGGTGAGATCTACCAAGATTGTCACATGCAGCGATATTGATACATTTTACTTTTAATAATTTCCCGTCACTTTAAATTAATTGGATGGCAGTGTATATTGCCTATGGAGAATAATAATGTTCTTATGTGTTTGTGAAAGTCTTTTTTTTTTCCCAATTACATTTTACTAATGTTTGTATTTGCATAAAAAAGAAATAATATGGAATATAAAAGATGAAAAAATAACACGAAATGTGACATGTCACTAGCCTAACGGACTATTATTAAGAAATAATGTGTAATTTTTCCAGGATTGCTACATGCAAATATAAGTTAAAGTATTTTAATTATCAGCTATCCATTTGATCCATTGTGGAAGCTAAAGTGATCTGAGGAGAGCATGACCAGAGTAAGGTAGCTTCAGTATCCTGAATTCACAATACAAAGTTAAATTAAAACAAATTAAAGGAACACACCAAGCAACATAACAATGGTAGTGGAATTTAGGTAAGAAGTCAAATTGTTTGAAAACAGTTTGACTCCCTACAAAGGAAGAGTACCAGGGCACTGCATAGACCATAACTACTACAATGAGCTAAAGTGGTTATGGTGCTTGAAATGTTCCTTTAAAGGGACACTATAGCCACCCAGACCACTTCATCTCATTGAAGTGATCTGGGTACAGTGTCCCTGTCCTACATAGTCCTGCAATGGAAATCATTGCAATTTTTGAGAAACTGCATTGATTACATTGCAGGATTAATACTGCCTCTAGTGGCTGTCAATCAGACAGTCACAAGAAGCACTTCCTGGTAGTAAGGCGACTTTTGGTCGCCAGATGCTGGACATCCTCGCGCTATGCATGATGACATCCAGCGTCAGGTTATTCCCCATAGGAAAGCACTGAAGCAATGCTTTCCCAAGGGGAGCGCCTAATGCACTCGAGGTGCTCGTCGCACATGCGGATTATTCCCCCCCTTTCGGAGGGGGGAGGCAGATGGAGATATAGTATAAGGAATACAACTTTTTGCAA